TACACAGAATACAAAGCGACTTTTAGCTCTACTGACCTTCAGTCAGATGTCATCTCTTTATATCAGAAGCAATCCGATTTTTCCAACTGTTAATTTGATGAAGAAATTTTAAAAATCGAACGGATCCACTTTTATCCATACGATAACTTTGAAAAAAGTTATTCTATACGCTGTATTGTTTTTTGTTCATTATGCAACAATTTCTCAAAGTGATATGTTGTTCACTTGTTTAATATTCAACAAGACAACCGATTCTTTGTTTTGTTTAGCCTCAAAGCTAAGAGCTAAGAGGAACCTCAATGCTTTTCTCAAAACTGTTTCCCAAAACTATAGCAGTCAAATTTACCTTATATGTTTAAAGTTTGCATATCGTGCGTGTGCATAATAGCCTACTAATGACTATCTTCTCTTCTCAGAATGAGGCGTAGTGTACGTTTTTAGACTGTTTGTCAAAAGATTAAAGCCTAATAGTAATGATACCCTAGGTGTCCACCACAAAATAACCTGAAAAGAGACTTGAAAAATAGTGTAACAAACGTTTGAATATTCCGGGAGAATCGTGCAGAGGAAATAAACGTCTCTTTCTGTAAAGGAGAAGATTGTTGATCTTTAATAGGAATCACTTAATTTCTTGAGAGATGATAGTAGAGCTAAAAGTCGCTTTGTATTCTGTGTATTGTAAGGTGCAGCTAATGCAAAATTCAAGTGGGTTTTATTTTTCGATTTTTCACATACATTCTGATTCGTTTTGTCGAGCTGACCACGAATATCACCTTTTAGCCTTGAAAAACCGTTTTTTCATGAAGAAAAACTCGAAATACCGAGAGGGTCTAAAAAATCGAAAAAAATGATCTCTATCGTTAGAACTGACTTTTTGAAGTTTTATTGCAAGATGGAAGATTCAAGCTAATTTTTTCTGAATCAGCGTTGAAAACTGATTTAGAAAAAGTCTTCAGTTCATTTCAAAGGTAAACACTCGTCCGCCATGGATGTCCAAACCGGCTGGTGTCCAATGAGGTGTGACTCATCTTGTAAACCTATCTAGTTTTTTGGGTGAAGAGCTATACGTTTGATTCATACACCATTAGATCGGCCAAGAGACCAGGTTGAAAAGTACGGAGAGCTTTTTTTTAAATTCCTTGGCCGGCTCTGGTGCTGTGTCGGATTTCTTGCGAGTCCCACGGCTGGCACTCGGTGACTATTGGTAGCCTTGAAAACGGATAGACTATAGATAATCGATCATGCTGAGTCTCGTGGCAATGTTTATTTTTAGAAAAAGTTCAAAAAGTCTACCGAAAAGCGAGTTTTACGAAAATTTGGGTTTTCAGTCTGTTTTCACCTATTACAAAAGTCACAATTCATTCAATAAGCATCAGAACGGGTTCAAGACTTCAGGATATGGTCGATTTCTCCGCTAAATGGGATTATAATATCGAAAAAATCGAAAAAGCATATTTGCGTCAATGGGTTTTCCAGAAATGCTTTTGAAAAATCTTAGGGTTTTGTAGACTTTCTTTTAAGATATCCTATAAATAGGATATAGAATAGCTTAAATACTTTATATTCTGAAGTCTTGAACCCGTTCTGATGCTTATTGAATATGGCCTGTATAACACGGCCTATATAATTAAACTTCGTTGCTGATTTAGAGAGCCTTTTCGAATTTCTTTCGAAAAAATTACGTAAACTGTTCGTCTCAGGAAGATTTTACCATCGTGTGCGCCTATGTTCGCACATATGTAAAACTTATTTTTGCATATGCTCTTGGTCATAGATAGTATTTGACCTCAACTACTTATGCTGCAAATACGAGCTCTTAATCAACTTCCTAGACCAAGATATAAACATCAGAAATTTGACTTTTATAAAAGTATTGTTTTAGGCTATTTTTAGGGCTTTTACCAAAAGCTTTATAACTGTTTAACGAAGTAAGTCTGAACGAAAAAATTTTGGGAATCTTCCTATATATGTTGCCTCTACTTATGGTACACATCTCTACCCGTTAGTCTTCGCCAGAGAGAACGAAAACTTTATATCACGAAATTTTTGTATTTTGATTGAAACTGCCCGAGTTCAAACGGTAAAACATTATCTTAGATATCGGTTTGTCGAGCGAAAGTTGCTCTACAAAATGTTCGGGCTACGCGGTATTTTTCTAACATCGTAACGGTAGCACAAAATCTGTTACATAAACTAAGGCTAAATTATGAGAGTGAGATGTTGGTTGTTTTAACATCATTAGCAAAACGCTCAAAGTTTTCGCAAAAACAATCAAAGATATCAAAATTTTTTACTTATAAGATGTTCGGTGGTAGATTTGAGCCTAAATTCGAAAGCAAAACAATCAACAATTATGCAGTTTTTATTCAAAAATTAATGAGAGAAAGGCTATTATATTCTCAATAACTGACTAGTGAACGCATCTAATTCTTAGTTCTGAGTATGAGTTGAATATTGTTATAAGATCAATGAAGAATATCACGACAAAAAAATGTTGTTTCAACCTTCAATATGTTTTTTGTTCAGTCGAATTATTTAACAAGCCATTTAATTATTTAATATTTCTAGTTTTTCTTTAACTTCCTGAAAATTTTCTGTTGCTGTCTGATATACTTTATCATAAAATGATTTTAATTCACATGCTTTCATAATAAAATTGTTTACCTGGAGAAATTCCGGTGAACATTCATTTTTTTCGGAGATGAAATCAGCTAAATGGCATAATACATTAATCAAACATCGAGCTGAATCATCGGAACAATCATGTAAATAATTTCGTTCCAAACATTCATTAACCATTATTAATGAGTAATCAATAATTTGTTTTTGCATTACTAATGCATAAATAAATGATGCATAATAAAGAATAATACACGAATTATCATTATTTGTAGATCGATTTAATTCATCTGTAATTGGACGAAAACGTTCATATTGATTTGTATTATGATAAAAATATTCACATTTTTGAATTGTCTCTAGTATGTTGAATTTTATTTCTTCACATTTATTAACAATTTTTGTTAATATGTTTTCATTTAGATGTTCAATAAGATTATGTCCAGAAACAAAATAGTGTTCTATACGCTTTTTCCGAAAACATTCTATAACTAAATTTATATAATCAAGAAAGCGATCGTATAATGATTTATAATTGAATGTTTCTTCTTTGTATTTTTCACATAACCAATAGAAAATAGTTTTCAAATAATAACTACAAATAATATTTGGATAATCGCTATTAATTTGAGCTTTAAAGATAGCTTTCATTATTGAATAACATTTTCGTTGATAAACATTTAATGAATGTGCTAATAAGACTTCACCAACTGAAAATGACAGTCGCCATTCATGATTTCGATAATTATCGCTTAATGGATGTGCTAAAGCTACGAGATGACAACCAAAATGAATTATTTTATCAATCAATTGTTGATTCGGCCAACCACTTAATCTCGGACGTGTTGACCAAGTTAATGCTGATTTTGGCCAATGATGTGATCTTAATGATGGAACATGATCCATTGGTAATGGTAGTTTAGGATCATTAACTGCTTGTACACATACTGATGGACCATGTTTTTCAATTTTATCTTGTGTTGTATTATTCCAATTTAATTGAAACCATTCAACAATGCCTGCTGATGGAAAATTTTGTTTATTTTTGATGATGTGTGCTTTTGATTCAATTATATTTAATTTATTCTCGGGATGTGTTAATAACTGTTCTAATGTTTCCTTATGTGAACTATTCAATGATGAGTAAAAATAGAGTGTAACGTAACACGGGTATTTTTCATTTGTATAATCAATGTAGAGTAGGCTTGTTTTTGACTGTTGATATTTTTCTTGTTCATCTACAGTTAATTGATTTTCATCAACAACAATTATATGTGGAAATTCAAACATTCGATCAATATCGCTTGATATATCAATGGATTTAAATGGTAAAAATAAAGTTTCGGCTAAACTACCTGTTGAAATAAATGCTAGGGGTTGAATATTGATATAATCATCTGCAAGCGGCCGATAAGGTACAATCTGATGTGGCATGAATTGATCAAGTATGAATGATATCAAATAATGCTTTCTGTCTTGAATTAAAGAAGACATAATGATTTTTGCTTAACGGTTGTTGAAAGAGCTAAACAAATGTAATAAAAAATTAAAAAATTATGATTATCTTATTCACTTATCTCATAAAAGCAACACATTTTTTTTATTTCTGTTTACGTAAAATATAGATAAGAATGAAAATAAAACCGAGAAGACGTCATCTTTCTTTTAAGTCAAATGTCGCGTAAAAGAAATGAGCCCTTATAATGGAATTAATCCAATATTAGGGATACAATAGTGACGAAAACCGTTCCACTGGAAACCGCTCCGGCGAAAACCGATTGGGACCAGAAATTGTACTTCAGATACCAGTATTTACCGGCAAAATATTTAAAAACATTCGAAGAATTCTAAAACCACTATTTTCATTGGAGGACTTTCGATCACCCTTTTCGTAAATGGATCTGACTTTTACCATTATTCGCGAGTAGAAAGATAAATTTATTGATGCAACATTAAAATCACCGATATAAATTCGTGCATACTGTTATTCGAGCATTTTATTGTAATCGAACGATGACTGTAATCCGTTTTATATTTTTCGGAAAGCCGTATCATCCGAAATGATAGATTCCCACAACAAAGATTGCTAAGAAAAAAGAAAGAACGAAATTCAATCAGCTTTGTCTTCCATGATAAGCTATGCAAAAAGTTCACAAAACTTTGGTCGTGTCGATACATGACTGCGCCTGTTAGAGCAGCTTCAGATGATAAATAATCATTTTAAACAGCATTTAAAGTGTACTTATTGCATGAAAATGAAGGCACTCGAAGAATGAAAATAGAAAGTAATCAATCAGCATCAGAATTTGGCGCTCTTTCCAAATGTGGCTTCAACATTTCTTCTGGCTTAAGATTGGTCGTATGTGAGCGAATACCTGCGTAAATCAGAAAACTTGCTCGCATCTAGATTCAGCGAAACAGGCTATTCGTGTCATTTAAAAACCATTAGATTTCGATCCTGGGAAACAGTATATAACAAAAGTAAAAGGATTACTTTTTATAGAGTAAGTCTTACTCTATAATCTGGTGTATAAAAAGATTTTTTTATAGCCTACAAGAAGATAATTTGAATCAAAGTACAAAACTGGAACTCATGTAAAACGCTAATGATATTCTCATATTTGCAATTTTCCCGTTTTTCCACCTGGAACCTTTATTTTAATACAATAAGTACATTTGAAATGCTCTATAATGTGATAATTTATTATTCGAAACTACTCAAGCAGCTTTACAGATATATCGCTTATAAAAATTCTGAGAATTTTTTCTATACCTTTTTTATTTCTATCGTAGTCTATGGATAATCTCATTTTGGACGATCTCGCTTACGCCGATGGAAACTACAGTCCTATCGTACGAACAATTTTATTTATTTTAAAATCTGGTGAAACGTGAAAGTAAATTATTTCTTTGATCGCATCGTTGCTGCTTTTGATGAATGACACTCTAACTGAAACAGATGATTCGACCTAATACATTTCGTCTTAGGCTTCATCTCCAGAGTCGTCCACACATTTAAAAGGAGAATATAAAAAGTGAATAACGATTAAATTTAATATAATCATATGAAATTCCGGTGTATCAAACAAGTTTTTTTGAATACACGCTTTTGAGTCGAAAGTATTGTTCCTATTGCAGTGGGTCAGATGATAGCTTATCTAAAGTTAAAGAGCAACTCATCAGAATAACGTCTAGGTGATTTTCAGAGTAAATGAAGTAGCTTGAGCATCAGCAGAATTTTGAATTAATTCGTGATAAACAATAAAATCAGATGAATAACGAGCTAACATCTTAACGATTAACATGCGTTGATTAACTTCAACACGATCTTCCACGCCAATTCGAGCTGGATCTGATGACAGTGGATATTTCGACAGCCGAAGCAACGGCTCGCGGTCATATCCAAGGTGTTGATAATCCCATCAATGCCATACAAGCTCGTCAGACGAATATCATCCAACGAGCTCAGCGTGTCCAACGTTGCAAGATGTCTCTTTTCGACGAAACTCCGACATTGATCAACTGAACTGGCAACAGCGCCGGAGTTCCAGCAAAGCAAGAGCATCGATAGCCAGCCAGAAGAAGTCGATGATGATGAATCTGTGTTTCCTGCCATCATCAGCGATTGTCGAAGCAGCGACGACATTGACACAAAGGCATCTTTCGATCTTAGCCAATGGATCGAAATATGTTCCGCGATGTCAAAGTTATTCCTCGTCAACATCTGCCCAGACTCTTATTGCACGGGAATTTGATCGTATGTCATCGGTGATCATGGACGGTCTAGCGAGAAACTGTGTGTCGAAATCAGATGCTCGAGCCAAGCTGTTCTTCGGCTCATTGAAACATCTGATTAGTCAATTCTACGAGGAGAAACTGTCGTGGAAGTTGTTTCGGTCTGTTCGGCGAGAACAGTCAGTGGTTCGAAACATTCGGCGCCAGTTGAATGCCAAAAACAACCGGACGATTCTGCGACGAACAGACAAGAACAAAGTCTTTCATTTGGGCTCCAGTCTTGATTATGAGGAGAAAGCATTGATGTATATGATGAAGACACAAGCTTATGAAGAAGTCGACGATAGACAATGTCCATTGCAAGATAATTTGACGTGTGTGATCGATCTGCTCAACAGATTGTTGAAGGCAAAGGCCATTGATAAGAGACAATGGTCACGAATGGCTCCGGATAAGAATAGAGTCGAGCTAGGACATCTCTATTTCTTAGCTAAACCACATAAAGTAGGGCTAAGACCACACACACACGCTAGACATGTCTCTATCTCCAATGTCGATGTTATGGGACACCATTAAGATCGATCATCTCGTCGATGAATGGGCCAACGATTGGTGTCTCTTATTTTTTTGACCGTCTTCTGCGACCATTGTTCGATCATGTTGCCAAACAAACGACGTTCGTTAATGGCATCGATCTTGTTCGACAGTTGGAAAAGTATCGAGACAGTGGTCATCTAACGACGACAACTCAGTTCATCACCTTCGATGTCACTGATTTGTATACGATGATACCACGCGATGGGGCACTACCCACATTAGGACGATGCCTTAACAAATATTCGGTGCGTGGCAAGATCGAGAATCTATCTGTCGATACCATCATGAAGTTAGCACGTCTTGTCTTAGACACGAACTGTTTCGTCTATGATGAGAAGTACTATCGACAGATCAAAGGCGGAGCAATGGGTTCACCATTTACGATGACATTAGCCAATGTCTACATGTTTGAATGGGAGCAACCATTGATTGACTTGCAGACCAGTCAAGGCGAACTCTACGGAAGGTTGAATGTGTATCGAATTAGATGAACTCGATAGACTCGTTTTTGCTGTCTTCTAGATACATCGATGATGTCTTCATGACTTCGAATATGTCAATTAGTGAAATTCATCGGCAACTCGACTGGATGAATCAGAAGGACGAGGAACATATTCGAATTACGTACACAGTCGGCTCAGCGGCAGACTTTCTCGATGTTCACATTGAGAATCATGTCGGTCAACTGAAAACGTCGGTTTATCGTAAGCCAGCTGCTGAGCCATATGTCTTGTCGTATGCATCCGATCATCCTCGGCATGTTCATGCGAACATTCCATATGAAGCATTGTTACGTGCTGCTCGGCTATGTTCGGATGTCTATGCCTTCGATCAGGAACGAGGAAAGAGGAGCATTACGAACGTGGGTCTCAAGTCAGACTTAAATCATTGACGATGATACTTGATACTTCATTTCTTTTAATAAAAAAGTTTAATAACCAACTAATGAAATATTCTTACATCTAAACCAATATATTCGTTGGCTGTATTAGTACAATCTTTTTTTTTCTTCTAAACTATAATGTAATATACTATAATGTAATGTAATAAGAATAAAAAAAATTAACAACAGATATTTTTAATTCATAAAAGCTAGACCCACATCTACATAAGTCATATTCATATAGAGATATTTGTCAGTAATAGGCAAATTATTTGAATCTTTATCTCTCCAATACGAAGCATGTACATCAATCGTGTACGTACGATTAAGATTCGATTTAAATATATTTTGAATAGTATAATTTAATGGTATAAAAACATACTCAGTCGATGGATCTTCTAGATTTATTTTATAACGATTATCGATTGTAATGTTTACATAAGAAAAATAATAACTTAAATACAAATAATAATGACGATATTTATCTTTAGTAGACAACGATGAATTCAGTGTAAACGCTCTATTTAACCAAATATTTGTAAAATTTTTGATTGAATTTTGTTTCATATGATGGCATTGATAAAAAAATATATCTGAAACTACTTTCAGATCTAAAAATAGCGTGAATTCTGGTATATTGCTAAAAAATCTCAGAAATGGAGGAGAAAGAGGAGAGTTCTTGAATTAACGAGGAAAGAGGAGCATTACCAACGTGGGTCTCAAGTCAGACTTAAATCATTGACGCATTTTTCGAATAGTTCAGGCATTTAATGATACAATTCGACGAAACGTTTTAAGAAGGTTTAGAGAATAAATCGTTATTTTGTGGGTTTTTGTCCCAAGTTTGCCACTGTTGTCAACGACTTTCAAAAAGTAAACAAATCACCAACGTAAGTCTTTCCGTAATACGGTTTAAGTTCCCGAACTTAACTCAATCTTAAACTTAGACCAAAATCACGACTTCAGTTGATATTTTAAACAGTGGATCAGTAATTGTTTCATTTGCTTTCATTGTACAACTAATCTTTATTTCTAAATAAGCATTTGCCGAATTATTCTTTTGTGACTCATAAGCATATAATAAACACGCTTCCAGTTCTTTGCCGTAACCAGCGTACGATGCTAAATCTAAATCGTAGTATCCAATTTTTTCATAACCTTTGCCCACTTGTCCTTCCTGGAAAAACAAAAAAAACAGAAATAAAAATAAAACATATGACCAACTGTTCCCGTAGAATTATAAAGAAAGAACAGCCGACAGTAGAAGAAAGATCAGTGAGGCAAAAAGAAGCTCATTCTTCATGTTTTATCCAGAAACTAATTTTGTTTCATCAGATCTCTTTTAGAATGTCATTTGGTAGTGATTTAGGGACACTCGATTTGTATTAAGATGCACCCAGGGCAGCCTTGCAGTGAAATTTATTTTTCGACACTTCATACACCATTCGATAGAGAATTTCGCGGTGATCACGAATATCACTTCCAAGGCTCTCAGAACCCTTTCCTCACTGA